ACGCAGAACTGATAGTCCAACGAATGATCGTTGACATCCCACTGGGCCGCAGCGATCATGTAGCCAAACACTTCGAATAATTTTCTATGCAGAATTTCCTGTGAAAATCTCAGATGCATCAAAAATGATTACGCTTGACGACCTATTAGCTCGATTAGGCGAGATAGTGAACTAGACCTTTCTGGTAAAGAAGGATCCAGCTAGTGCATGTGAACCTCTTTTCAATCAGTTTAACTCTCCGGTTGCTGAAGCGTCATCGCCTAAAATTTCCGTCTAAGAAAAGTGCTCGTTTCTGCGAAGCAGGACATGAAAGGTTATCGCGAAGCGAAACGCAGCCTGGCATAAATACGAACTCTTCCCCCTTCACCGAGAACTGGACGGCCTAAAAGACCCAACGTAACCACTAAACTCAACTTTTCTTGAGGATCAAATGGCGTCCCAGCAGAATTTGGCAGGTAGTATGGCCCCAAATCAAAAGCTTTTGTATCAACACGTTAAAATTCTAAGGAAAGTAAAACTGGGTATTCATTCTATTCAAACAGCGGATGGACGTACAGGAACATCGAAGGAGGCGGCGAATGCTGTGCGCCTACATTATGTACCAACCTTTCAGTGCGATCTCTGGCCACAACAGCCTATGACAATGGTTGTTTCACCCCAAAAACTCAATCACATATCCTTCACTATAGACGTTGTACAAAAAAGCTGTTAAGTATGCGCAAGCACAGCTCTCTTGGGGTTAATAATTTAACGATGAGATCGCTAGCCGCGGTGGAACAGATTAGCTAAGCCATTGCCTCGATTCTTCCAACACCGTTTTGATGAAAGGTAAGTACTCGGCATGTGGAAATACGGGACGCATACCCGTATTCATATGAGTGATAGTCGTTCCAAACCAGTTAACTACCGACCCATAACTTAAGTACCGGTCCTTTCAAAATCATAATCTCAACCTTCCTTCTGTATACCGTTCACATCAAGGTGTGCTTTTTAATCAATACACCAGATGATATCACAGTACTTCAAGCTGTTCTGGATAGGGTGTACGCGCGGTCAATGCAGAATCGACTTTAATGCAATGTGGACAAATGTACAGTGTTGCATTTATGGCACAAGCTAGGGAATTCAGAAAACCCGGCAACCAGGAGCTTCTGGCGAGAAGGAATTATGAGTTTTGCCCGGGTTGACTTTGGAGGTTCGAACCAGACTGAAACGGCCTAATGGATTGGCCTCCAGTACCTGGGCTTTCTGAAACGTGCATTCGGACGATACGATGAATCGATTTTGCCACATCTTCTTTCCGAGTGCGCGCTACTCCTATGGAGTACGCATTACAGGTCTGGCAGCCATTGCTGAGATCTCTCCGCCTTGGTGATACCCCAAAGCCAAAAACCATAAACGTCAAGGGTCTATATAAGTTGCCGTATGAACGAAGGCTTTCATTGCTCGAGGTCTTCGACGGACAGTTTCGGTGGTTATGCGGGGTCCTAACGTTTTATGTACCAAAGTTTGAGAGATCCAAACTACACCTATCGCCATTGCCTAGAGCTCAGTTACAACAGAAATTTCAGAGGCTCCACACTCAAGCTGGAACAGCAGCACAGTCGTTTACAATGCCGTTGGGATTGCTTTATCGTACGCGATTGCAGAACATAAAATCTGGCACATGTGTTCCCACGCTGGCAGTGTTCAAGTCCACAATTGACCAAGCACTTATGTTGCTGCATCATCTTATATCACCCAGTACCCATGGATAAGCACACGTGTCTGTAAGATTTGACTGTCGGTCAAATCCCAGATTTCGTTCCAGATATTTCACCTCCTGTATGTCTACACCAGAATGAGGTACCATTTTACCGGTTTCATTTCAATTTCATTTCACATGGATATACCTTGGATTTACAGTCTATGCTACGTATACTTCAGTGAGTTTATTGTGTAAACCATGTTTTGCTAACAATTTTTCTTATATTGTACTTTCACCATAACCATCCAGCGGGACTTGTTAAGCAATAGCCTTCTTACAGATGTTAAACTATTGTCCCATTATATGGGTTGCGTATACCTCGTGTTTGAGGAAATGTCAAGTGCTTTTATGTGTCTTTCGTTCGTCTACCCTAAATTTATCTCGCATGGCCATTTTACGCCCGCTAACCTCCCATTCGAAAACGCGTATAACAGCAACATTCACTTTAAATGGAATATACTTTTGGCTGCTTTGTCTTGAAATAGGTTTAAAAGGAAAGCCTATTAAACGTAACCCTTTCATAGTTTTGGTAACCAACCCAATGTCAAGTACCTTAATTTACTGAGCATATTCAAAGATCTTTGCTGAGGTTGCTTGTAATACCTTTACACAACAATCCATCAACTATTTTTCTTAAAACAAACCGTTGATGCAATCATTTATATTTCACCGCATCACTCAATAGTTTTAATTAAGGTGTTATAATGATGTATTTTGGTTGATACAGATCAATGCAAAGAGTTATGAAAAATGGGCTGGAATTGTTTGACATTGGGATATTGGACGGGAAAATGAGGTATAGTTTGCTACCAAAATCGCTTTAAATATTTAGACACAGCATGTCCGATAAAAGCTTACAATATCAAGTTAATAACAATAAAACAACTATGATTTATTCAGAGTACCAATACATATTTGAAAAGATGATCCTCTTATTACTAGGACAAAATACTTTCACGAGAAGCAGAACTGGCAGTTTTCTTAGTAACACATTGTTTATGTGCTACCAAGCACTTTATTGGTACAGAAATAAACATGTGGTACCGAGATAGCTCAAAAATTACTATCTGAATTTGCATTAATTGCGATAAAATATGATGCTTATTTTCATATACACATGAATCATTCTGCCTAGGTAAATCATTATGCAATAGTAAAAATTATATTTTCGCATTCATTAGGGTATAAGGTGGTTAGCTTGTGTGAATATTGCTTACGTTTATTTGAGTCACACACAACTCACACACCTGCTGCCCTCGCTCGGACGTGACCGGCCATTGTTGCACTCAAAACTCGTTTATATCCTCCCTAGCTAGCCAATTGCCCGTGCCTCCTTTTAACTTTCCTTGGTGTGAGACCTTTCAATAAACCTTTTCTAGCTTAATTCCCTGATTGCTTTCGGTTGGCCTTCTGGCAGCCAACTTGATATCTAGCGCAAGACCGAAGTGCAATATACGAATTGCATCATCATAAACGAGTAATAAAATAACGATATTAACATATAACCACGTAAGATTACTGCAGAATGGATTTGGATTTTAATTTGTTCCCTAAACTATTGAAGGCAGTATTGTGTGCAAGTTTGTTGTGAAACTAGATGCAATTGTATTATACTGGAATAAATTCAAATGTTTAAACCAAATAAAGTCGGATACTAGGTGTCTGTCTGGAGTTACCAATTGACTTTTGCACAAGTAGCAAAATGTCATTAGTTGTGTCGTAAAGTCTTGTTTATTGTGCTTTAGATGAATTGATAATTGCAAAAGATGTTAATGACAGTAGTTGCCTATCTGGATACATTCAAACTGAGTAACTACCTTTTGTCTTCATAGTTCTTCGTCTAATGAAACAATACTTGAAGTTTCACATTACACTTTACCGCTAGAGGACAATGAAAGCATTCGCTTAGTGAACCTATAAGCTACTATTGGATTCGTCATCTTCGTCAAAACTGAGTTTCTTTCTTAACTATACAAAAATATCAAATACACGGCGAAAATGGCGATTCAAATGCGTGACATCCATGTTTAGCATTCCTAAACAAGTTTGCCAGCCAAGTTTGGATATTTGCACTTTGGCACCATCCACCATACGTTGATAATAGGTGCGAAACAGGAAATTCCGGCAATTAACTGAAATTACATTAGATCAAATAAATAAGTAACGTACTTTTCTCCAGTTGAGAATACCCATTATATAGGCAAATGGTGAAGGGTCGATTCATATCTTTGATCAACTTGCTCTGGTATTCCATGTATGCAAACTGATCAATGGCATAAAACGGATGTTTGAACTTCAAGCGATATAATGACATGATAATTCTACTAAAGTTTGAACTGCCAATTTGCTTTAGGCTGCACGACACATAATGCGCGTGAAATGGTACACCAATGTTCTCTTTTATCTAAAAAAGATAGAACAATTTTATAATGAATGATAATTTTTAAGAGAATAACAGCACAGCGAAACGGGGGATACAGCAGGGTGGAATGCTTCCCAAGAAACCTGTCCATTTGCAATTACTTGGGAAAAAGCAAATTCACTCCAAATACACATAGGATTTGAAGGCAAGTGTTTTGATCAAAGCAAAGATTTTAAGCAAAATACATAGGTAGATAGTACTATCTGAATAAAATAAATAAACCTGCGCAAATTTATGACCTTATCTTTGGCATGCATGGTTCGTTCACCCTAACGTTGACCAAGCGAGCGACTTAATTCACGATCGCTTTTGCCGCAGTACAAATGCACCCTGCTAATGAGATAATCGACGCAGTCATGTTGGAAGGTAGTATCACAACCACTTCTTAATATATTACAATTCCAAGACGATTTTTACTACTATTTACGCACATGCAATTAATTACCCAAACCCGTAATCTTGCAGTAGAAGTGGATGACGAGATTAGAGTTATAGTTCGCTGTTAACATAGCTCACACTCATGGCAAAATCTACGTAATCAAGTCGCAGATATTTCAAACATGCCTAGATGACATTGGCATAAGAGAATTCACTCTAGTATTAATTGTCAAATTAATGATGACTTATTTGTTATTTCGCCACACTGGCACATAGTACGTTTGAGCTTTGTTTGGGTGAAACATTTTGGAGAAATAACCTGAATGGAAGCAAGACCCCCTGGGGACGGTTCCACGGATGGCCGTACTACTTTCTTGAACTTCAGGAACCCATTTGTGGCCCGTTGTAAGAAAAAAGAGCAATCAAATATTTTATGAGATCTCGATGTACAAAGTGATCTTTCCACTTAAATAGACTGCCACGAACCGTCGAGATATACATTTTTAGTTATTTGTTTATGTTTACACAAATTATCAAAGGCAACCAAAACTTTTTCCTAATATTTCTGGCTTTTATTAGGAAATACAACTACGTTATGTGCACAGGAAAAAGTATGATAATAATGCCGGAAACATGGGGTTTTACAAACCAAATCATATGATACATATTTGGAAAATGGAAAAGTTGTAGATTACGAGCATAAATGCGAGTGCCTAGCAAGTCCCGTAGGAAGGCCGGAAGGAGAACCACAACATGGTGAATAGAAAACAAGGGGATAAAATAAACATGGTTTTGGTGGAGTCACGACAGTTTACAAAAACGCACGAAGGAAAAGTCAACCACAGTAGTTTTGTAACTTTCGTCGCTTTATATCGTCTGTCGAGACATACAGGATATATCTCTTGGTATAGGTTGATTAGTAAACGTCACGACACATTTTAACACAAGTAAAATGGAGGCGTATCAACCTAATTTTGGAGTGTGTTCCATGGCTGACACACACGAAGCGACTAAAAGTTCCGTCGACCTTCTAGCCGATTTTACTAATTGGATAAATTGAAATCGTGGCCTCCAATTTCGTGTTGTGGCTGAGTTGTTGTAGGTAACAGCAGACGTGGTTGGGGTTTCTAAGAATCTGGTAGGCCATAATAAGGTCGCCACGTAAGCGCCGGTACCGGTCAATGTGCACTTTTAGGGTCCTCAGTTTAAGTTTACAAGTAAGATTGAAAAACCCTTTGACGTGCTTCGTGACTCGTCGCTGTGGAGTCTCGAGCGTTGCACAATTTTGCTTGTGCCAGGGCTGCCACGTCTGGATTGCGTATTTCATATAAGGGCGCACGTAAGCGTTAAGCAACTGCGAATAGACAGAGGGACCAAACCGCCCAAATGACCTCCGCAGCATGCCAACGTGGTGGTTCCCAGTCTTTGACGCCTTCTCAGATGGTTTTGAGACGCCCAGGTCAGCCTGGATTAGTACCCCAAGGTCGCGCTCCTAGGTGAGTGCTTGAAGGACATGATCTCCAATCTTGTATGTGCTGCTCGGCTGGTGGCGAATATAAACTACTTTACACTTCCCCTAATTGAACTGGAGCAGATTGTTCAGTGACCGCACATGCGTTCTCCTCAGGTCTTGCCTAAGTGCATCGTGATCAGCTGGGTGGGCGATCGTCCGCCATATCTTAACATCATCAGAGAACAGCAAGAACTCTGAGGCAAACTTGTATCATATACACAATCCATTTACGCCAAGCAGGTTATCAGTCGCAAGCAAGATTACAAACTTTTTAATAACGAAGGATAACTCACTTTTCTGCACATAGTTCTTGACGATGGTCCAGAAACGTAAAAGGCTGAAATATAAAACGTTTATAGTTGCCTAGATCACAATAACCAAGATGATGTTTCGTGTGAGAAAATTCGTCGGATATCGTCGCTGCTGGTCAGGCATCTGAGTGCATTGTTTAAGATTTATTTTTGACTACGGTTATTGTGTGCAGTCCGAATCTACTTGTATTTAGGATCAATGTAGCCATAGATCCATTCGTACCTCTACAGTTTATATTTTAAAATTTTGTGCGGGTAAGTAAATTAAGAACCACATAGACGTGCAAACCCGTACAGTGATTATAGTAGCATATCAAGCGTTATGTTTATGCGCTAGCAAGCTAAAATGGACTATTAAATGGATGGATTCATTTGTTAACTTTGCGATCGTGCTCGATGGTAAAATAAGAACTGGCTGGGCGAAACATAGCGTTTCGACACACATCGACTGCAATATCAGCAGCGTACATTTACTTAGACTTAAGCCTTGGTATAACTAGTAGGTTAAAGTAGTAGTTGCACATTGATTTATTATTTCGTTTCAGCTTAATTATGGCATTATTAAATATTTCGCACAAATTGGAATAGGAAAATTTTAAACCTTCAAATGTATTTCGTGCACACGGTCTGTATGAACTTACATAATCGTTCGTCCGCTACATAAGATAAAGTAAGAACAACCTAAAGATTATTTTACTTCATGATATGTCCAAAGTTTATTTTCCCAGAACCTAAGTAATATTTACTTTATTCATACTACAGCCTAAGGTGTTAGTTGTTACTTTGATTAACTAATTACTGGCTGTTAACGGAGCTGCATTTGCCATACATAATGCGTAAGGCAAAAATGTGATGCGTGGGGATACAGAATGCTTGCAAATTTGGGACTTCTTTATATCGGTTTATTGATTTGAATACTCTTAAACATTTTTAAAATATCGTAATAGTTTGCAATAATATAAATAAATTATCATTCTTTAGAAGAGATAGTTGTAGTAACCGCGGTTTCGTTTGCATTAGAGCAAACAGACCATTCTATGGGAGAAAAATGGTCTGAATCAGCCTTCGCACTGTCGTATGCGTCCATTAACAATAGGGAATAAAACTTCCACGTTTGTGGTACAGAGGATTTTGGGTGATGATATAACTTTTAGCGTAAATAAGCTAATAGAATCATTGGCGAATGAAGAGTAGTATGTGTAGAATTAGGACACATAACAGGCTTACTTTTTTGCACCAGACCGGCTATATATCCAAGGTCGTGCGTAACGCAGCCTACAGCATCGGAGTTGAACATTGTTTCGACACGCAATGCCACTTCCTCATCACTCATCCAAGAGAAGAATTCCCCACTAAGTCGGTTACGCACTTTTAAACAAACCAAGTGCAATTCGGCAAACATTTCATCGGGGTCCATTTGCGCATTATAACATTCATGGAAACCACCTTCTCGGAATGCATTTGGACGGATTTTCAAAAGCTTTAAGATGACAGAGGCGTAAATTATTAGGCCGGCATGTGCGTTAAAATGTCCGTGACAAATAAGCAGCATGCTTTACAAGTTAGCTCCTGTATAATAATGGGTACGGACCTCTACTTTTCCACAATGCGTTTAGGAGTACAAAATTAAGCATGTGTTCGTGTTTACACCGTGTTTTATCTCTGTATGTATACATCTCAATATGTTTTCTTCAGCTATTTTAATCGTGTAAATTATAAATAACGTAGTTTTAAAGAAAACATTGAGCTAGTTTTGAAATATATCGCATAATATGTAATGTGGTAATATCAAATAGAAACGATAATGCTACGTACACATTTGCATTGCATTATACTGAACATTTGACCAATAGTTAAACGTACCAAGTCGCAACTTCTGGTGATAATGTTATCACTCGTGAACTCTACGTATATAGCTAAAAGTTAAACCGGTGTTACAATGACACTGGCTTTCGGAGATATGAAATTAGCATATACAGAAAAGGAGAGGAAATGGGAAATCGTTCTATAATTCTTAATCAACCAATGAGAATAAGGATAGAAATGTCAACGAAGTCTTACAAATTGTCATGTCTACTTATTGATTACTTTTGTTATAAAAAAAGAATTTAGACAAGGATTAACAGTTACCAGGATTTTAAAGCATTACAATGATTGCAAATCGTAAACGTGACAATTCATTGGTTATTATATTTTCAGTGGTGATGTCATAGGTAAAATTTCTTGAAGCTCTTCAAAATTTCACAAATATGTTTGTAACTTATCTTATGATACTGGTACCAACAGGCCAACAAAATCTTTATAGTTTTTGCTTGGGTTGGAAACGTTTATATGTATTCAAACATTGAAGTACCTTCATTACCACATAATCCTACTTCTCTTGCAGAGCAACATACATAACATGCTAGGCACAAATTTCGATAAAGCGTGAGTGCCGAATTTTCTTTCCTCGTTGGCTGGAACCACGCTCTGATCTAAACACGTCATGGCTACAAGCAGCTAAATTGTTGGTATCCATTAAGCCAATGAATTCAAGCGTAAGATTTAAGGATAAAATGACAATCCCAAAATATTATAGATGAACAGTTCTAGTTTGAAAAGTTTATAAGATTAGGCAATGCAAAAGAACCATTTAGCTGACGTAAATGTCTCGTTTTTTGTGTGTGGACGCATTACGTACACTTCGGTTAGAGCGCAGGGTCGGAACTCTTTTTGTCTCGAAACCCGCTGTGTTTTTTCTTAAATTGTACTTGTTTTCTTGCTTATTGTTATGAAACATCAGTTTTCTCCGCATATTTGAAACGATGATGCATATATATTGCGTGTACGCTGTAGCACTGACTTCCAAACAAACACACAACTTTAGTTTACTATAGAGGCTGCCAGGCATCTTGTTTTTATGGTAAATTAATTGTTAATATGGAACTTGATAACCAAGCTTCCATTCAATCTTCCATGCATGTTTCGATTTACCGTGCCTTATTATGTGTTGTTCAACTAATTTAATATATATTGTTGCACTTTACTATGTAAAATGAAACATAAGTTTGCCACGTGAAATATCTATACCAAATATTCGTAAGAGTTTACGGTGGTACGCATTGTACTGGCGAATCCGAAAAGCTACTACAGCTACGTACATTCGACGACTTCTTTAAGGGAATTTGTCGGTAACCTTATCACAGAAATGATCATCGGGTTACAGAAGATCTAGACAGGGTGAAGAAGTTGCTGCGTGTTTTCCATAAAGCTCCTCGAGCAGATAGCATGTAGTAAATCTCTTCGCAGTCTCACTTCTTCAGCAAAGGGAAAAAATGGAAATCGTACTAATTGCACTGAATATCCTATCTGTTCTGAAAGACCTAAACCCATACAAATCCCTTGGCTCTTTTAAAGTGCATTCAGTCATTGTCCAACTGACTGCCGATATTTGCCAGCTTCTGGTTTTGAACTGTTCAACTTGTCATTTCGTGAGGAAAGGATACCGCAGGAATGAAAGCAGGTAGTTTTACTGTCAATGTGTGAAGGAGAAACTAAATATTCCTTAATATTTACAGGCTTGTTAGTCTCGCTAGCATAATTTTGACGTGTCTTGAAAAGACTAACAGGAATCAAAGATGCGGACATTTCACGGCTCAATATTTGATCGGAGCGGAATGGCTTTATCAGGAAAGGCCGTACATCACTAAGCTGCGGTGCTTCCTAGGAGAAATATCTGTGTCTGGATGAAGAGATACTGGCAGAAGTATGATATTTTATGTTTAGTAAAGCCTTTACCTGAGTAAGGATTGCTTTCTGCTAGAAAAGCTGACCTGGTTTAGTCTCCACTCTCAACTGCTTTCTTAGCTGTCCGCGTTCCTCTATAGTAGGATATTTCTTGCTAGGGTTCCTAATGGAAGTTCGAGCTTATTGGTGTCCCCCAAGGTTCAATACTCGTTCCGTTACCGTTTTTCTGTTAATAAAATATTTAACCCCTTTGCTGATTATTTCATGATAAGGCTACAATATATAAAGTTTGCGCTACTGTTTTAAATGGTTACCGAATGTTACTACGTGACTCCGAGTGGAGCAGACGTTGTGTTGCATTCACCCGTTACGTCCCGGACACTGCAAAGTGTGACTAAAACACGTAGTCTTGGCATCATCGTGAAGAATATGTTCAAGTAGTCGGTGAACTGTAAGCTTGCCACTGCCAAAGTACGATAGCAGCTATTTCGACTTAGGCAAGCTCTGAGTTTTATCAAGCAAGATGTCTTTCTTCCATTGTAAAATTAGTGGTTTAACCACGAGTGTAATATTATGTTCAAGCTTGGGTTCCCTTCTTCCTGAAGGGTATCAATTATATTGAAGGTATGTGGAGACAGACGACCCGAATAGTATAATGCCAGCGGTGGTTATCGTATGAAAATCGGTCAACTTAAGACTGTTTTCTAAGAGGAGACACAGATTCATAGGGAATATAACATAAGCATTCAAATTCGTGAAATATCTCAGCCGTCTCAGGCCCCTTGATATCACTGAACAAGCTACATCAGATTATTTGCCGGGGCATTGTCTTAAGTTAATACAAAACTTTCAGATCCGATAGGTTAGCAAAGATTTTCTCGCAAACATTATTGCCTAGCAGACATAAGCACTTTCGCATTGTTGCATTTTATGATGGTATATGAATTCAAGCGTGGTCTAGACGAAAATGTGTTAGCCGGGTTTCACGAATTGCTGTGAGAAATCGTAACAAGCTCTAACCATACGCAAGTGGTTTGCATTACTTCGTGCAAATGTTTTGGCTGTCTTGCTGTCACCCCTCTCTTTATCTAATAAATTAAAAGAATCTATTATCAAGTCATAGTGCAGGAAGCTGTTTTCTTACTAGCACACGAAATGGGATGTTTGTTGAGCCATAGATATTTTCGAACCTTGCCCATGTCCTTCCCTCTCCTATGCGGTGTGGCGGTCTAATGTAAATTAGATTTATTTACTCCCGGGTTATGCTCCTAGCTAACTATATGACGCAGCAGTACGTTGGCGACGATGCACGTACGCCCGAGTAGTACAAGTGACACAGTTCAGACATTCGCCCCCAAATGATTGATTTCGTTGTGGAATACCAGGCCACTAGGACTACTAAAAGTACACGAGGATGGGGTCCCACTACGACCAATCGTCGCACACTCCGGAACCCCATCATATAAACTAGTGAAGGATTCGTGGAGGTCGAAAGATTTGATTGCTCGATACGAACATAGCATAAGCAATGCTGAACAATTCCTCAAAAATCTGCGGAGTGTCAGAATAGAAGAGGACGAAATAATCCTTTCATTCAGTGTCACCACGCACTTCACATCAATCGGTCACGCATTAGCCAAAGAAACCGTGAGGGAACTATTTGAGAATCAACGAAACCCAAACGACCTGAGTTTTTTTGAACTCCTGAACCTCTGCACGACCACATGTTTTGCTTTGATGAACAAGTATACAGGCAACTGGAAGAAACACTCATGACATCCCCATTTTTGGGGGTCATTGGTAAAGCCTTTATGCAGAAATTGGAACGCATCGCACTGCCATCTATCAGCCCAAAACTCTGGATACGATACGTGGACGACCCTTTTGTCATCGTAAAACGGAACAGAGTATAGGCCATGCAAGAGTCGCTCAACAACACATTCGAGGATATCAAATTTACGATTGAATTAGAGGAGGATAACAAGTTGCCATTATTGGACGCACTGGTCACTAGGAATAAAGACGAATCTTTGCAAACGTCCTTATATCGGAAGAAAACGCATACAGACCAGATATTAAACTACCATAGTAACCACCCGATGAATCGCAAGAAGAGCTGCATTCAAACCCTATTTAAAAGAGCGGAAACGCACTGCAGTGCAGTTGAATTGCGGAAACAGGAAGAAAATCACCTATATCGAGTGTTTAGAAACAACGGTTATCCAAGAAATTCCATCAGAAGAAGCCCACAGAAACGAACGTCTCAGATACAGCAGCAGACGTCACCTAAGCAAGCAGACAAACGAATATTGCTCCCCTTCATCAAGAACTTCTCCGAACTAACGAAGATTGCTGCAGTCACATGGGATCTCTGTGGCCCACAGACCATGTGCCACCCTAATGAAATTGATCTTAAGACCCAAACAAACTTAAATCAAGCCGACCAATGCAATTTCATATATCAAATAAAATGCGGCGACTGCGATAAAAACTACGTGGGACAAACTGAAAGAAAGCTTTGTACAAGAATCGCCGAACGCAAGAAAGCCGTCAGAAGACCTGATCCGCACTCATTGCTTTCTGCGCATGAAGATCAAGAAGGCCACCATTTCGATCTGGAGAATGTAATGATCCTAGCATATAGAAGTACAAAACACGCGAGGTAGTTTTTGGAAACCTAGTATTCTACAACGAATTCTATCACTCGGCACATCAAACTGGACGCATTATACGCAACACTATTGGCGAACGACCGCCAACTTAATCGATTGAACACGGTGGAAAGTGTGACTTGCCAACCAGACACGCGCACAAGCGCAAGCAGACCAAGGCTGCGATACACAACCAGTCAAGTCTATGGTCATCTGCCCATCAACCAGGCTGAGGGCGGATCGAAATCCACAACTAATAGGATTACTCGCCACCACGGACAAACACGACGGTGTAAAAAGGCACACAAACCACGATCAGCGCACTTTCACCGAGGCTCCTCTATGGTTTTCCACGTTAGATGAACTGAACCGCTTGGTCTAATTATAAATGTATTTCAATGGTTGTTCTCAAACTTTTTCTAAAATAAGATGGTGACTGCTTGCAGTATGGCTTAAACCAATGTAAATAAATAACAAATGCATTAGCGATATTTGCATTTTTACAACGAGAAAAGTCTACTAACTTTTCTGAACACCACACCAAATTAGCTCGGGAACTCACCTCTTTCCCTTCCGGATTCGCGGGTCACAACTTTATTCACCATCATGCACTCCCTGGCCGCCTGATTAATCTTGTTAGTAAGCCCTCTAGCTGTGCGGTAGATTCTCTCAGAGGGCAAATTAGCATAAGGAGAATTTTCTACTTCTATTTCCACCATTGAAAATTCAGCTGTGTTTGTGGTTCGAAGTACTGTTGTCAGGCAACTTCGGACTACATAATATTGAAACTGATCACTTTCATTTGCTGCAAACTTTGAAGGATGAGACGTATAAAGAAAATAAGGTCAGTGTGGAGCTTTTGTAGCAATCAGATGAGTGGGCAGCGATAGACTAAAATACTTTTTAACGAAAAATCACACAACCTGTTTCATTTCCGACACGCAAAATGCAAATATTGTACAAGACACGCATTTTCTGTGATGGTTATCTAAAGTGGCAATAAATGTACTTTCGTATTATTTCTTTAATCACCGTAACTGAGTGATAATTCATAATTTACATGTATCGTTACAATGTAACATAGAAAAGGCATTTTCGGAATAAGGGGAAGCCACTTTTCTTGCATTTACAATTGCACAGTTATCGAAAGAGAAGCTCAGGTGCGGCAGGATGAAGGAGTCAGAAGTTTTGCTCTTATCAACGCTGATCACAACATCGGTTTTTCAGTGACTGTTGAGTAGATACATATATCCCTAAGCTCAGACAACACGATTATTGCGACAGATAAGAGAAACCTGCGCTTCTTCACTAGTTACATGGAAGTAATTCGACATTCAGTAAAAAAGCGTAGGAAATCAATTTTATAAACTTTAATTTGTAAAAGTTGCATTAGCTGATAGCTTGAACAAGTATATAAAACTCCTATAGTTACTGCTTCATTTTGGGTTACTCAGTGAGACGCAACTTATAACGCGTTCCAAATGTACGAACTAATTTCGTATCTTGATGTCATGTTGAACATTTGCTTCCCTTAGAGTTGAAACTCTTCAACCTGATAAGATAATGAATGACTACGTATACTTTCATCATACCCGGTTGAAGCAAGCTTTACTTGTTTCAATATCATACTATCACAACATGCGCATTAGACGTGATACCAAGCAACACCGCTTTTATTCAGACAAACGTTGCATGTAGATTAAAATAATTAGTCTAGCCATATGAAGAAAATTTAGAAAGAAAATGATCAGATTCTTGAAACAAAACGCCGCTATAGCGCGGAAGAATAACTAGGAAGCAAGCTTAAATTTATCAATTGATCAGTTGACTTAATAATACCAACTCACTCTGTCGCAGATGGGCGCTCTTACGTGGGATAAATTAACATTGATATACATCCGAAATATATGCCTTTCACCTGAAATCAATGCGGGTTTACATAAGCTACGGAATCCGCACGTACGTTACATAGGCTTCGTGGACAAGTGAATTTGTCTGTTGATAATAAACAGGTCAGCTTGCAAAAGTTGGACATAAAACAGACAGAATGTGATGATAAAGGAGTAATGACTTCATTCACTATACGCTTGTCAATTTACTGAAAATTACCGCGATTTAGTTCCCATAGCTGCCAGTTATTACCGGTGGTAGTTGTGCACGAACTCATTCCTGAGTTAAGTTCTTGGTTAACAAACGCCACCTTTTCAAAGTATGCTCTCATTTCTGGAAATTTGGGCATTTTTTCGATATCCACGGTAACGCGATATTGCACAATATTGCTGAGAGTAATGGTTCCAATGCGAAGCAAAATAATGCAATTCTGGAATCCACCCGTTTGCCATAGTTCAGGAGCAAGCCGAGTAAGCTACAACAGATTTTATTCAATAATGTATTCCACGCCTATGAATGCGGTTAATACAGGGTAATAGGATATAAAAGTTATCTCACCAAGCTGCATTTTGCTATTACCTCCTTATTCGTTCCTTTGCGCACATGTAGCTGAACTCCGGTTGCTGTAGGTATTATAGAAAACAAACATTATGTGAGCAACAAATATTAATAAATACATGAAATAATGGAAATCTGAGTTGCGTCTGATGCCCAACTTGCGGCATAGATTGTATTAGAATCTGACTGGAATGGAAGATACCGCGTATTTTCATGTACATGATAATCATACTTGGAAAAAGTGTTGTTGAAACGGAAGCATTGTTTACATGTGCTTGAATAGAGAAATGCTAGCTTACTGCATTCTCAAAGAATTAGGATTAGCGGATTAAGTTACCACATGGTTTATCTCCAAAACATTTTGACATTTTATTTGATTTAGTTCAACTAGCACATAGTTGACAAATGCAATGATACTACCCAGTCCTTTATATATAATGTTAAAATATCTCACGGATACTCTGGCACGCAACAGTTTACGAAATTTTGTGTGAATTTAATGTAAATCATACTGATGCCATGGCACTTTCCGGAGAAAAGTTGTGCTAAATTAAGCGACGTTTATTTTCAATATTTATTCAGTTGAAGTAATTAGTTTTATGCTACGCATAAGTAAGCAATAAAGGGACATACATTTATTAAATTGATTCAACTTATTTTTGTGGTGCTTTGCAATTTACCCAACAATTATATACGCATTAGCTATCTTTTTATCAAGGCAGATCACATGTTGCTTAAAGTCTACCATTCAGCATATTTTCGTAACCAGTTAATTTGATTGTATTGACTAAGATTTTAGTGTTGTCGTTTCAGATAAAATGAAGCAAACATTCTTGAATACAATTCACTTAATGCATCCTACTTGACATGTGACTGCTTATTTAGTTACCTAGGCAGAGCTAAGAGAAGGTTGGGTTCCCAAATAAAACAACAGGTACCGATGCTGGTCATAAGCGATACTGCACAACAATTGGCAACATCAGTTAACTATTCGAGTAGATCTCCAACCTCATTCACTCAGAGTAACGTAATGTCATGTGCACAACATGATTTCTTAATGGCTATCAAACTTCACCTACACCATCCAGATTGCCGACTACTTCTACAGGGGCCGTCACAATCTGCCGGCTTAAGCCTATACCGTATCCCAAAGGCAAATTTCCGTTAACCTTAGCTAGGCCTGCACACGGGTGGTTGGATTCCATTTTTAACCATTGGTAGGTGCGTTCACTCTCATTATATATTCTGAGCATAGCTGTGATCAATCGTTTGTGGTGTTAACGGTGTGATACGAATCTCATCCACCTGCTTGAAAGCGTCCTACCAATGAGCCCACTAGCTTGTAGTGAAACTGAAAACACTGTCTGTACATTTGAAGTAAGCGGTATAAGTTAGATTTCAACTATAACACTGTTACTTACTAAACTTTTCGCAGAATGCTGAGACAAACAGAAGACTGATCATCATCACTGTTGCTAATGACATGACGCAAGCATTCGAGGAACCGCTTAACACACACTTGATCAGAGTCGCAATTAAGTAAAATAGGTAAACAAAAAACGCCTGAAATCATTGGCTTATGATATAGACCAATGAACCGTGTTATCCTGAAAGCCAATTAGCAATAGTTAATGAATTGGCCGTGAATTGATAATAAGCTTGTCTTGTTTGTTTGCAAAGATTGCGTTGAGGAATAACCTACTGAATTACTTTTAGTAGCTGAGTAGTAAATTGCCTTGCAAGTAGAATATTTGAACATTTAAAACTGAGTTCCCTTTCTCAGTCTAAACAGGACAATGAGAAGAATGGCATGACGAGACGGGACCGTTTCGTGTTATTTGCTCATTGTCAAACTGAACATAAATATGAATCACGTGACAGATACACCATATCTGACGCGCCATCTGTTAACTTCAGCCCAGCGTCTATTTGTTTAAATCGATGTCTTTGATGCCATCATGGTTTATTCTAACTCCCGATATCACAGATGCCAGCTAATCGTGCGTTTTGCTCAGGGGTCACACCGCATGCACAATTGGCTTATTCTCTCCCCAGGTGTCAAAACCGCCACCTGTTTCTTTCATCTCACACGCTTGTCACATGAAGCGTTAACGACTCCTTGAAACCCCCCACCCAATTACCCTTTCTAAATGCTATGTCATACATAGCTACTGTTAGTAGACGTCGTGTTTTTCGGGGCCAACCCTGTCCTCTGCAACGTTTATAATTTGCATGGCAGTGGAAGATAAGACGCGCTATATCGCAGTTAGCTTGTAAATCACGACGGGCCGAAGCTGTCCCCCGTGGGCCAGTGGCATAATCTGCTGAGTAGCAGTTCAAGTTGGTGGTCTTGGGTTCGAATCCTGATGGATGCGAAATACTTACGATGCCCAACTGGCTAAACTTATTCCGGGCACGTGGACGACTATCTGATTCAGAAGCTGGCTGCAAAGAACCTCACTTAATAAACATTTTACCCCGCTATATGTATTATGGTGAACAATGGAGTAGAGCCGTGTGATCCAATACAAGAACCGTTCGATCGGCTCGCGATGATGGGTTTCGTGCTCTGGTTGTACAGACGCAAATACAGTGGCTTGAATTTTCTATGCCTCCTAATACATTATAAACACCCAGTTTATAAATCACTGAGATTCAGTAACAGTCATATATTAACTGTTTAACGCTTAAAAGTCTGTTAACTTTGATAGTTCATGATAATTTAAGACAAAATATCGTGCGGAATTCGATTGTCTTTAATCGTTATCACCGAACACCAATATTCCTACACACGTGTGCTGTTTCGTGCAGACAAAGCAGGCAATTTCGGATGTCGTATTTTCGCTCGGTTTAGTTGTATTGTGAGCCCAATTCATTGTCCATTACTGATGTGGTCCGTATGACTTATAAATACTACTCTGAGACAGTGCGCTTATCCAGCGCAGATATCAGCAAGCAAATGAAGTCAAACACGGTGGACTATCTTCGACGGGCTACAAAAAGACTTGGGTAGATAAGCGAGACAAGAGAAAGCGTCAGCGCAGTAACAGCGTAGATGAGTGTTGAGTCCGATGTATCCCAATAGTCGTAGTGTAAGAGGGGTTAAAACAAGCAAGAATAACGTACGGGTCAGCAGCACTAATATTGTATCTACAAGATGTTATCTTTTTGGGCGCTACAGTGCTGCTCCCCTAAGAAGTTAACTAAGCGAAGCCATCCATGTCGAAAAAGATGGGTGAGTCGGGGTTCGATAAACAAAATCGTGCCGAGTAAGAGTGAACGCGAGTGCACGTATCGTGGGAATTCTTTGGAAATCGGAGTTCTCTGTGCTATTTTTTATTTATTGATTGATTGCAGAACATGGTGTATCAAGATGAGTCGGTATAACAGACTTGTCGGGCTTAAAATAACTGACTAGCAAACAATAAAAGCCCAAATGACCACAACACCGCTACTCTAGGTGGAGATGTACGCCATCAGGCGCGTCCTTCAGGTTACGGATTCGGGAAAGCCTTCCCTGTGAAGGTATCTGCTAATAAGTCTCGTCTGCTATGCAGGGTAAGCAGTTCTGGGCTGGTCACCTGATTCTACATAAATTAGCACAAAAGCTCGTACGGCGCTGTGTCAAAGCCAATAAAACCGGCCATAGGTTCACCGGTTTCTCTGTGAACTGTAACTGAACACAAAGAGGACGAATGAGTCACCACGCTGTCAACGGGTTTCGTATTTGCTCAGGTGCCTTGCGGGTCAGGTCTTTAAGATCAAAGGCTCTGGGTGAGGTGCTATAAATCATGCCTCTTCCTCGGGCAGGGCAACCAGGAATTTCTTTGCCAACATATCGCATGGATCTTCGCATCCCTTGCCCTGACACACTTCATCATTTGTGTTGTTGTTACTCAGGTGTTGTGGTACCGACAAATGTTTTGGGCAAGTGGTTATATATATATATATATATATATATATATATATATATATATATATATATATATATATGGTTGGCGGCATCCGGTTTCGGATTTACCGGTCACTGTGGCCAGTCAAAGGACGCCTTCGCCTACAAAGGGACCATGGGTGGCTTGCGCTGCACCACCCACAGCTCCAACCACACATCCCATATCCAGTGTAAACCCGAAGGAATAAGACCGGGAGGCATGTGGATAGGAGCCACGTTTCTTCAACGGAGCCGGCCCACACTCCTTCACAGGCAAACACAAGCACGCTGTATTTGGGAATCAAGCGCACACAAGGCGGTGGCTGGACCGTAGTCCGCTCCACACTGATTGAATGGAACCGCTCTTCGAGCCTAGCACGACCACAAGGACTGTGTATCCCGTCCCCTCCAGCAACGACCAACTGTCTCCTGGAGCCAGTATGAACGAGGTAGTGGGTAATAGACAGGTAGGCACCTTGTCAACATGCACATCAAGCGCAGCCACACCGGGGATATCAAGCAACAGCCATTCACTTAAAACGACAAGCTGAATTAAAACAAATCCAATAATGCATACAGGTACGGTGGCATAACTCTTCCCTAATTTACCATATGAAGTAAGTTGGTCAGCAACGAATTCGCGATAAGAAAAAATGTACACAAGTTGCTTAAACATGCTACAAACGCAACAAAGTTACCGAAGATAAACGCAATTAGCGTAAGCAACTTGGCCAGTTAATAGAAGATAATTCAAGTAGGCAGAACAAAGCAAATAAAGTGGAATGAAATTTATCTAGCTTAGAAAGACCTAGTTTAAGTTGGTTTAGCCCAACTGCGGTGAAGAAGCATCAGGAATGCAACATCGGCCTCAGAATGGGTCACGGTATATATATGTATATATACATATATATATATATATGCTCTTTGGAATGTTCTTTCCCTCCCCCGCACCACATGCTCTGTCACAAAACACTGATCCAACGCAGAAACTCCTGCGTTCGTCTCTGAATCCTCCCTGAATGCGGCGATCTTCAAAACATTGCTGGTTTTGGCCAGTGGATCATAGGTGAAGGTTGAAATCAAAGGGCCTGAAAAGGAGCAAAAAGCACGCAGGGAACGCCAAAAGATACGAAAGAATTGCTTTCTGAGAATATTTTGGTTTGTGGATCCTTTTAAGCTTTTATAGATTTGTTGATTTTTTAAACGGTAATGAAACTACAACGGTGAAAAAATACGATATTTACAAGCCGTAATCTGCTTACACCGTACCTAATCGACATAACGAACTAGCTTACGAACCTCCTAACCACGGCAGTTGGTCGTGGGGGGCCACAGGTTAGCTCTGGAACCTGATATCAAGGTTTTGCTACATGGAGACCAAAATCTTGGTCTGAGTCGACGGCGATAGAATGATGAATATTAATGGGGCTATTGGTAACGCCGCACCAAGCATTGCTAGACGATGGAGGCGAGGTAGTTTCCACCATAACGGCCTCTTTAGACAGGCGATGGTAACGATTTCATGTCGACCACTACGGTTTTAATGGGTATAACTTGTTCGATTCATTACTTGGAAGTGTTCGATGTACGACAACGGCAAAGGCTGCCACACTGTCTGCGTTAGGTAGTTAATCGATCTTCGGGCACATACACCGGTGTCTTCTGCAACCTTGGAGCTGGTGGGCGCAGTTTCTGCATCAGGTGAGTCAGCCGGTCAGTATAACTGCCGTAGTCGAAGGAGGAAGTGTGCGGTGCTAGTACAATCAGCTGTCCGGGAAAATGCGTCGTGCAGCCTTGGGCTAGCTGTTTAATGTTGCGTTGAATCAGGTTCCACCATCTTCCGTAAGCTTAGGAGGACATGAGGAAGGGTCTTGAACTATGAAGGGTGTGGATGCACTTAGAGCACTGCCTTCAGTTGGAGCTGAGTAGCTCTATCATGCTGTTAGCGGCAGGGTGATACGCCGTCTTCTGGTCGTGGCAACAACCTGAATGCTAGGCAATGTGGCATATGTGTGGACGAAGCATTTGACCTTTGATCGGTGGTCACGATGGCGGAACAGCTGTAGGGAGCTACCCAGCGCTCTAGAAAAGCCTTTCCTACCGATTCCCAAGGGCAATTCCGTATAGTTTTGGCTTCCGGACACTTGGTGAATCGATCAGCACAGGTCCGTAGACAAAGCTGGCCCATTGAAGGCAACAGAGGAGCTACGAGGTCGTCGTGCACGTAGTGAAAAAGTGCGTCTGCCTTTGGTAACATGCAGCATGGGCTTTAAGTGTGCTTTTGTATCTTCGCACGTTAACATGAAGCGTAAGCAGCTAGCAAAGTATGAACGTCACGACTGACACGGCGCCAAAGGAATAGTACGGTTACGCGTTTAAACGATGTTCGAACGCTAGGTGAGACAGGCCGTGCAACTTGTCGGAAACGGTCTGTCGAGATTTGTGTGGCACGACCCGGTGCCCTGTACCCAGATATGTGTGGCAACGTATGGTTCTATTCGATGTTGTCAGCGAAACAGGTAGTATAACCAATGTATGAGGCCTGCGTAGTAGG